TCTCGCACTTGAGTCTACTCCTCTCTCACAAGTATTGAAGTCATGACTCAAGAAGACACTCTGTAAACCATTTCTTCTACTTCGCACTAAAGCCTATCTCTTCTGTCTCACACTTAAGCCTTTCGTGCATGCCAACATTGAAGCTATTATCCAAGAAGGCACCCTATGCAAACCCACTATTCTTTCTCACAGTGAAGGCCCCTCTTGCACGCAAGCACTTTTTCTCATTGTCGGAACCAACTCTATCCTTTCCGTCTAGAACACTCATTTCAGAAAAATCGAAGGTCAAAACCTCTCTCCACAAAAAAAGAAAAAGAAAAAGATAATTAATGTAGCTATTTTTTTTTGAGAAAAAATACAGAGAAACAAATAATAAAAAATTTGTAATTTTCAAAAATAATAGAAAACATTACCTTGTTTAGTATGGAGTTTTCAATAATTAATTTTTAAAATTTGGTGATAAAATTTATTTTCGTTTTAGAATGTAACCCAAACATGACCAAATAAATAATAATAATAATAATTAAACAAGGAAACAAAATATAAGAAATCTAGGCTATTGTGACAAAATTTGGTGACTTAAAATTTAACCCAAAGATGACAAAATATTAATTTTGTCGTTTGTTTTATTTTTTCTCAAACGTATAGGAGACGAAAAAAAATTTCATCTGCAAAATTTAGGCGCCAATTTTATTCTTGTTGGCGCCAATTATTTTAGCTCATTGGAGACGAACATTTTTGTCACAAAATTTAAAGTTTTTTGCGACAAAAGGAATTCGTCACCTATAAATTCCAAACTTATTAGACGATGTCGTTTCATTTTTTTATTTATTTAGTGACAAATATATTTTTTGTCTGGGAAGGATAAGTTATGGAAGACGAAAATATTTCATCACCAATAAACCCTTCATGCTCGTTTTATCTTTCTATTAATTAGGCGACAAATATATTTTTGTCTCGGAAGGATATGTTTTGGGAGACGAAAATATTTCGTTACTAATAATTCTCCATGTGTCGTGTTGCATTTTGATTGATTGTGCGACGAATATATTTTCGTCTCATAAGGTTAAGTTGAAGGAGACAAAAATATTTTATCACCAATAAATTCTCCATCCCCACACAACATTGTTTTTGTATTTTTGTTGATTAGGCAACGAACATATGAATTTGAGACGAAAATATTTTCTCACTAATTATTTCTCTTTATTAAAATGTCGTCAGAAACTAAGAGACGCTCTTACCTTAATCACTTACTTTCACACACATACAAATACTAAAGTCGTGACCCGAAAAGACACCCTCTACAAATCCTCATTTCTCTCTCGCACTTGAGTCTTCTCTCTTACAAGTATTGAAGCTGTGACTCGAGAAAACAATCTCTATATACCATCTCTTCTATTTCGCACTGAAGTTTCTCTATTCTCTCTCACATTTAAGCCGTTTGTGCATGCAAACATTGTTATCCAAGAAGACATTTTGTGCAAAGCTACTATTCTTTCTCACAGTAAATCCCTCTCCACAAAAAGAAAATAATAATAATAATAATTAAACAAGGAAACAAAATATAAGAAATCTAGGCTATTGTGACAAAATTTGGTGACTTAAAATTTAACCCAAAGATGACAAAATATTAATTTTGTCGTTTGTTTTAATTTTTCTCAAACGTATAGGAAAATTCAGGTGCCAATTTCATTTGCATTGGAGCGAATTATTTTAGCTCATTGGAGACGAACATTTTGTCACAAAATATATATATTTTTTGCGACGAACATAATTTGTCACCAATAAATTCCCTACCTATTAAACAATGTCGTTGCATATTTCCATTTATTAGGCGACAAATATATTTTTGTCTAGGAATGATAAGTTATGGAAGACGAAAATATTTCATCATCAATAAACACTCCATCATGCAAATAATGCCGTTTTATCTTCTATTAAATGGGCGACAAATATATTTTTGTCTTGAAAGAATAAGCTGTGGGAGATGAAAATATTTCGTCACTAATAAATTCTGATTAATTGCGTGATGAATATATTTTTCGTCTCATAAGGTTATGTTGTGGAAGACAAAAATATTTCGTCACCAATAATAAATTCTCTGTTCTTGTATTTAAGGAGACAAAAATATTTTATCACTAATTATTTCTCTTTATTAAAATGCTATGGTTTTGTGTTTCAGAGCACTGAAACCGTCACCCCAAGAGATACACTCTGACCCTTATCATTCATTTTCATGTGCACGGACACTCAAGTCGTGACCCAAGAAGACACTTCATAGAAACCCTCATTTCTCTCTCACACTTGAGCCTACTCCTCTCTCACAAGTATTGAAGTCGTGAAGCAAGAAGACACTCTGTAAACCATTTCTTTTATTTTCGCATTAAAGCCCCTCTCATATGTCTCACACTTAAGCCCTTCATGCATGCCAGTATTGAAGCTATTATCCAAGAAGGCACCCTATGCAAAATCGACTATTCTTTGTCATAGTGAAGGCGCCCTTTGCATAAGCACTTTTTCTCACTGTCTGAACCAATTATGCCATTTCCGTCTTGAACACTCATTTTAGAAAAATCGCAGGTCAAAACCTCTCTCCAAAAAAAAAAAAAAATTTTTTTTTTTTTGTGAGAAAAAAAACAGAGGAAAAATTAATAATAATTTTTTAATTTTCAAAATTAATAGAAAACATTACCTTGTTTAGTATGGAGCTTTCAATAATTAATTTTTAATTTTTAATCTATGTTTTTTTAGTGAACATTTTTTAATATTATAATTTTTATTTTTATTTTTAAATCCCTTTAATTTAGATGAGGGCAAATTGCAGCAATTGTCCCGGTACTTTGGTCCTTGTGTCATATAAATGGTATGTGCCATATCTATATCTATCTATCTATCTAGCTGTCTATCTATCTATCTATCTATCCTATATATAAGCAAAAAGAGGTTTTAACCCCAAGCCATGTGGGAGCTCCAATCTCCCAATCAAAATTTCTTGATTTTTTTTATTTTAAAAAAAAAACCTTAGCATTTATTAACTTCTCTCAACCCCCAAGTCTTACCCTCATAATAACTCTTTAATGCATTAAGAACAAACATAAAAAATTCTTTGGAATCCAATACATGAATTCCTTGAAAAGTCTCAACACATATGATTATTATCCCTCATAATAGCACTTTAATGCATTAAGAACAAGCATAAAAAAATTTCTTGAAAAGTCCAACACATATTATTATTATCAAAATATTAAACTTTAATATAATATAATAATAATAAAAAGACATTTAATTCCTTGAAAAGTCTAAACACATATGATTATTATCAAAATATTAAACTTTAATATAATATAAAAAAGGAAAAAAAGAAGACATTTAAAAAAAAGAAAAAAAAAGAAGACATTTAAAAATTGCAATTTACATATATAGATAATTGTAAACACAATCCGTGCATAGCACGGGTGATATGCTAGTCTATACTATATATTAAGCAAAAGGGGGTTTTAACCCCCAAGGCTTGTGAGAGCTCCAATATCCCAATCCTAATTTTCTAATTTTTTGATTTAAAAAAAAAATCTCAGCATTTATTAATTTCTCCCAATCCCCATGCCTTTTGGGAGATTTGGTCAAAAACCCCTCATAATTAAACTTTAATGCATTAAAAACTAGCATAAACAAAATTCCTTGAAAATTTCAATACATCTATCTATGTATATTATATTATCTATATCTATATCTATCTATCTATCTATCTATATCTATACTATATATTAAGCAAAAAGAGGTTTTTAACCCCCAAGGCACGTAGGAGTTTCAATATCCGAGTCTGAATTTTTTATATTTTTTATTAAAAAAAGAAAAACTCAACATTTATTGATTTGGTCAAAATCCCCTGATCAACATTTATTAACTTTTTTCAATCCACATGTTTTTTCACATGCCTGCATTTATTGATACAATCCCCTGATCAGCATTTGAAATCCACTCATACAAATAATTATAGATACAATCCGTGTATAGTTACTGCAATACCATTTTTAACTTCTCTCATACACTATGCTTTGTGATAAGATTTGAGAGGGTAATTTTTGGTAAAAATTGAGCCGAGCTGCGAAGATGGACTTTATGGCCCAAAGTACGAAGGACAGGATAAAAAGGCCCAATGGAGATGTAAAACTTACTCCGGTCCAAGAATAAGAATGTTACTCCGGATTAGGAGAAAAAGTTACTCCGGCCCAGAAAGAGATGAAGTTATTTCGATTTGAGGGTAAATGTACTTTGGTCTAAAAGTAACTTGAAATTAGACCGGTCTTGAAGTTATACTGGTCGTAAATCGTTAGTTCGGTCCAATCGTACCATGGGTTGAACAGGAGAAAACCGAGGTAAGGAGGAGTAGAGGGAGAACCGAGCTAAGGGTAGTTCGGCCTACTCTGTGGCTCAGCATAGCCAGTTTTACTTCGGTCATGTGATAGTTCGGCCATAGTGAAAACCATCCCACTTGGTTTAAGCAGTGGGGGGGTGTAAAAGGATAAGCATTATCCTTTAGGAGTATGAATCCTAGGAGGACTCTGCATGGAGAAATAAAAGTCCTACTAGGATTGTGCCACTCAAAATCTATAAAAGCTCACAAGCATCACCTTGGAGGAGGTAACATAACACAACACACACTTTTGCTTTCTGAACACCTTGAGCTTTGTCTATTTGTCAAGTTCTCTGACTTAGGCATCGGAGAGGTTTCCGGCACACACCCGCCGGCTAGCTCACGTTTGTGTTTTCAGGTGACAAAGCGACGTCGTACGGAGGAGCGTGGACTTAGTCAACAGGATTATACGAGGAGAATTATTTCTTCCCTGTACAATTGGCGCCGTCTGTGGGAAAAACAGACAGAACAAAACCTCTTGATTAAAGCTTCTCCCTTTTACATTCAATGGCACACGTTGAAGAATTGCCGCAGTCCGCCGTCGACGAACTAACTCCAGAAGGGGGCGCAAGGTGTGAAGGATTACCTTCTGTCCCTCCCATGGCGGATCTGGAGCCACAACGACATACCTCCCATGGCGGATCTGGAGCCACAACGACATACCTCCAGGAGAGATGCTAGGGGAAGACGGAATCACAGCCCTCGTCAACCCCATTCTCAAAGTCCCGACCGACAAAGACGGAGGATTGACCCTCAAGCTCTGGAAGATCGCGTGAAGGAGCAAGATGAATTGATAAGAAGGATGGCGGCGGACATGGAGGCCTTGAAACGCCAGATGAAGAAAAAAGAAGTAGAGGGGCGCAAAAACAAAACGCCCCCTCGCCACTCAGAAAATCGTAGTAGGAATACTACACCCTCACAAGGAGAGAGTAGAAGCCTCAGGACAGGCGATACTCAATCATGGTCTTCCAAAACTCGTCACTCCAGGTCTGAGAGAACGAAGTCTGAAAGATCATACACTGAAGGAAGCACATACTGGCCCTCTCATTTGCATCAGACTAGATCTAGACAGACAGAATTACCCAGATCATCCGACTTACGAACCGTGCTCGAAGAGAAAGGACGATGCAAGGAGGATGCCAGGGCACGAGATCCGCACAGAGTTTCTGCCTTACAGCGGTTGGCTCCTCGAACGCATGGAAGCGTCGAGGTTGGAATGCCAATACCGCACCCGGCCTACGAACCAACGGACAAAGCTTTGGCAAGACTACAAACTTCGCCGTTTGTTCCAGCAATTGAGAACGCGCCCCTACCATCAGGCTTCCTTCAGCCGAAATTCACCACATATGAAGGGAAGACGGACCCGTACTCACACTTAAGCCACTTTCGCCAGGTCATGGCTGTTTACAGGCGAAACGAGGCCTTAATGTGCATACTCTTCCCATCAAGCCTTGGCGACCTAGGCTTGACTTGGTTCGAGAAACTTCTAGAGGGCAGCATAGCCTCTTGGGCACAATTGGCAGAAGCCTTCGTGACAAGGTTTCGGACGAATACTAAAACTCCGGTGGAGATCGACCAGCTACTCTCCATCAACATGAGTGATAAGGAGACCCTAAGATCCTACAACAGTCGCTACTGAGAGACGTTCAATCAGATTGGGGACTGTCCCACCAATCTCGCCATTGCACAGTATAAAAGAGGTCTTCCAGTTGGAAACAGACTAAGGGACTCAATCACCATGACGCCACCCCTCACTATGGAAGCCCTGATGGAAAGAGTACATCAGTACATCAGGGTAGAAGAGGATGGCGCACGAGCCAAAACAAAATCTAGTGCGATCACAGCACCAGAAAAGAAGACCTCAGCAAAGGTCAACACAATAGACCGAAGTAACAGAAACGAACGTGGCAAACGAGATAACGGAGAAGATCCAAATAAAAGATGGTTGAGGATCCGCACTGCCATAACAACGGTGTTCAAAAAACCGATATATCGAATTCTGAGCGAAATAAAAGATGAGCCTTTCGTCAAGTGGCCAGCCAAGCTAGGAGAAGCTCAGAAAGACTACGACGACAGATCACGGTGCACCTTCCACAAAGAAAAGGGACACCGCACGGAGAATTGCACACCATTAAGACAACACTTGGAGGAATTGGTGGCAGCAGGCCACTTGGATAAGTACATCGAAGGAGGGACGCAACCAGCCCCCCAGGATCACAATAACCCCAACGGAATGCCAATCGACGCCCCACCTCAAGGCATTATCAATGTAATACATGGAATCTTTGAACCTGAGCGCATATGCGAGCTCAAGGGATCTATAAAGAAGGCTGAGCACTTTAGAGAGGTGTTAAGTGCCCAACCTACCATCAAGAAGGGAAAAACAGAGGCAACAAACGTCATGTCTTTTTCGAATAAGGACCTGGATCGAATATACTGTCCTCACAATGATGCTCTGGTCGTCACTCTCCGAGTCAAGGATTTTGACGTCAAACGGATTCTGATCGACCAGGGTAGTTCATGTGAGATCATGTATTACGACACATTCAAACAACTGAAGCTACAAGACAAAGACTTGGCGCCTGCAGTTTCTCCCTTAATTGGATTCAACTCCATGCCAGAATGGCCCGTCGGCAAAATAATTCTTCCAGTCAGAGCAGGAAGTGTAACAAAACAAGTAGAGTTCTGGGTATTGAAGGTCCCCTCCACTTACAACATCATCTTGGGCAGAACGTGGCTGCACGCCATGCGTTCGGTGGCGTCATCCTACCACCAGGTAATGCGGTTCCCCAACGACACCGGTATAATTGAAGAGGTATATGGAGATCAGATCATGTCAAAGCAATGTTTCGCCACGGTAAATGGCAGCCGCGCTGCCAAAGGATATGTTCATTCGGTGGAGGAACCCGAAAGCAATGAACTATTCACGGACGTCGGCAAAAAGGCTGATCAAAAAGCGGTGGAAGACTTGGTGGAGGTAAAAATAGATGAGAAGAACCCGGATAAGTTCTTTTTGCTTGGCTCGTCGTTATCCAGCACTGAGAGATTAGAGGTCTTGGAATTCTTGACCTCTAACATCGAAGTGTTTGCCTGGACGCCTTACGACATGCCAGGCATTGATCCAAACTTCATCAGTCACCAACTCAATGTCCACCCATCCGCCAGACCAGTCATTCAACGCACACGCAAATCGGCACTCCACCACGCCGAAATAGTAGCAGAAGAAGTAGGCAACCTGTTGGAGGCAGGAGCAATTAGAGAAGTGCACTACCCAAGATGGATCTCCAACACAGTTGTAGTGCCAAAGAAAAATGGCAAATGGCGAGTCTGCGTCGACTACAAAACAGTTAACAAGGCCTGCCCAAAAGATAGCTTTCCTCTACCAAGGATAGATCAATTGGTAGACCTGACGGCAGGGCACAACCGACTTAGCTTTTTGGATGCATACAGAGGCTATCACCAAATCGCCATGCATGAGCCAGACCAGGAGGTCACATCTTTTACAACTCCAAGAGGACTATACTGTTACAAGGTCATGCCCTTTGGCCTGAAGAACGCAGGGGCGACATTCCAACAAATGGTCACCAAGATGTTTGAACCATTGTTAGGCAGAACAATGGAAGCTTACATCGACGACATGGTGGTCAAAAGCAAGGATGAGAATGACCATCTTAAAGACCTAGGCGAAATGTTCCAGATCCTGAAGAAGCACAAGTTGCGCCTCAATGCATCCAAGTGTGCATTCGGAGTAGGATCTGGCAAATTCCTAGGCTTCTTCGTGACCAACCGAGGTATAGAGGCAGACCCCTCTCAAATCAAGGCAATCCAGGAGTTGGAGAGACCAAACTCAGTCAAAGAAGTACAACATCTCACCGGCATGGCGGCTGCACTCAATCGGTTCATAAGCAGGTCATCAGACAGATTATGACCATTCTTTCAAGCTTTAAAGGCCAAGTTTGAGTGGGATGAAGAATGCGACCGAGCCCTGGAAAGCTTGAAAGAGTACATGTCTTCCCCACAACTACTTGTTACTCCAGTACCTGGTGAAGAACTCTTTTTGTACCTAGCAGTCTCTCAGCACGCAGTTAGCGCAGTGTTGGTTCGTGCAGAATGAATACAACACTTGCCCATCTTTTATGTCAGCAAGACATTGTTGGGAGCAGAAACAAGGTACTTACCCTTGGAGAAACTAGCATTGGCATTAATGATGGCCTCTAGAAAATTGGCACACTACTTTCATGCCCACACCATAGTCGTCCTCACAGCTTTTCCACTAAAAACTTTGTTTGAGAGGGCAAACTTTTCTGGGCGCATCTTGAAGTGGACAGTAGAGTTGGGACAATTCGACATCAAATTCCAACCCAGAACCGCAGTAAAGGCCCAGTCTTTGGCAGACTTCGTCGCAGAGTTTACTCCTGGTAGTCATCACATCTGCCCAGTCAACCTAACTGACACGACCGAACTAGGAATGAAAGTTGACGCCGGAATAGCGCAATCCCTAGCAGTTAGCACTCAGTCAGACTCCAAGGCAGACCAGACCAAGGACAGCAAGGAAGAAGCAAACCAAGACTCACCAACAGCCCAACTAGATGGCGAGGAACAGACAACAGGCATGGACCTTGAAGAAAACACCATTCTTGACCCCACGACATCATCTGACCCCTCCACTTGCTGGAAGTTATTCGTTGGAGAGATATGGAAACTCTTTGTGGATGGAGCATCCAACCGGCATGGTGTAGGACTTGGCATAGTCCTCATCTCTCCAGACGGCCTGGTTGTAGAGCAAGCAATCAACCTTGGCTTCCTAGCATCCAACAATGAAGCGGAGTATGAGGCGCTTCTCGCCAGGCTCAAGTCAGCATACTACATGAAGGCCACCGAACTAATGGTGTACAGTGACTCTCTGCTGGTAGTAAACCAAATCTCTGGCGAATACGAAGCAAAAGATGACAGAATGGCCAAGTACCAAGAGCTGGTAAGAACAGAGATCAAGAAGTTCGATGTAGTAAGGATAGAACAAATTGGCAGGGAGGAAAACAGCCGAGCGGACGAACTAACAGGCCTCGCCTCAATGACAGATACATCCATCCCTCATCCATTACTCATCGACTACTTACCAAGACCAAGCATAGAAGACCCCGAAGTAGAAGAGATATGTTGCACGGAACTAGGCCCCTCTTGGATGGATCCCATCATCCTATTCTTAAAAGACGGCATCTTACCAGAAGAGAAAAAAAAGCCAACAGAATTAGAGCAAAGTCACAGCGATTTTGGCTCTCCCCATCCTTGGCATTATACAAGAAGTCATTCTCAGGACCTTACCTAAGTGTGTTCATCCCAGCAAAGTAGAAGCATTCTTGTTTGAAATACACGAAGGAGTGTGCGGAAGCCATCAAGGGGGAAGGTCGCTAGCTTACAGGGCTATTTCGCAAGGTTATTGGTGGCCATACATGCAGGCAAACTCAGAGAAATATGTGAAGAAGTGTGAAAAATGCCAGAAATTTGCACATCAAATACATCAACCAGCTAGAGAACTCCTACCATTGACTAGCCCATGGCCTTTCGCAATGTGGGGCTTGGACATCGTAGGACCACTTCCAACAGCGCCCGGCGGCAGAAAGTTCTTTCTCGCGGCAACAGACTACTTCACAAAGTGGGTTGAAGCAGAAGCATTGGCATCAATCAAGGAAAAAGATGTGAAGAAGTTCGTCTGGC